AGTTACATAGAGACTCAGAGTTAGAGACTCGTAGGGTGACGTAGAGATTCATCGAGTGACAGAGACTTTATTGAGTTACATAGAGACCCAGTGACTCATAGTTACATAGAGAATCGGAGTTACAGAGACCAGAGTGACAAAGCGACTCGTAAAGTGACAGAGTCATCGAGTTACATAGAGACTCAGAGTTAGAGACTCGTAGGGTGACGTAGAGATTCATCGAGTGACAGAGACTTTATTGAGTTACATAGAGACCCAGTGACTCATAGTTACATAGAGAATCGGAGTTACAGAGACCAGAGTGACAAAGCGACTCGTAAAGTGACAGAGTCATCGAGTTACATAGAGACTCAGAGTTAGAGACTCGTAGGGTGACGTAGAGATTCATCGAGTGACAGAGACTTTATTGAGTTACATAGAGACCCAGTGACTCATTGTTACATAGAGACTCGGAGTTACAGAGACCATAGTGACTAAGAGGATCGTAAAGTGACAGAGTCATCGAGTTACATAGAGACTCAGAGTTAGAGACTCGTAGGGTGACGTAGAGATTCATCGAGTGGCTGAGACTTGTTGAGTTACATAGAGACCCAGTGACTCATAGTTACATAGAGACTCGGAGTTACAGAGACCATAGTGACTAAGAGACTCGTAAAGTGACAGAGAGACTCGTCGATTCTAGATTTGAAGCTTTCGTGACTGCAAGAATTCATACTCTTAGGTTTTTTTTCGGTCAAGTCATGCAGGTAAAAAATAAGGAATAATAATAAATAAATATTAAGAATTATAGAAAAAAATCTTTTTCTTTAAATCCTTTATATTAAGTTCGCTTGCTTGCGTGCTTGCTTGCTTGCTTACGACCGTGCACATCTTTCGGTCGTTTTTTAACCCACTTCCCGTGATCCAATCGAGCTGACATTTTCCACACAGACTCGTTGTGCCAGACAAATCAAGTGATAGTGATACAGCTATCGTGCTGTGACGGTTCCACCTGAAGATGGAAGCTTGTGTTGCCTCCGAAACGTGATTTTATTATATTTTACTTTTATTAATGAAATTTTTTTACCTACGTGACTTTACCGAAAAAACCTAAGAACATGTTTAATTTTTTTAATGGAAATGTTTTTTTTGGGGGGGAGGGGAGGGTCAGAGCTTTGTGACGTCATATTTGAGGGGGGGGTCTGACTCTATGTGACGAGGGGGGGGGGGTCAAAAATCCTTCAAAATCGCGTGACGTCATTTATGGACGGTCCCCAACCCTCGCTGCGTCCAGAGTGGCCGCAGTTTCATTCCAAAGGCCTCCGAATGAGCACGGTCGCCTACGTACGGTACGAAAGAAGTTCTACGCACACAGAGGCCTCGGCCAATGGCGCTCGGGTGACTCTGCCCTTCACTTGGCAACGGATCAAAATGCCCCGTTGCAAAATTAACTCCAGGCCGGTGAAATCTGACGCTCAATTAGCTCGGGTTCGTCTCGTAATATATGTAGTTAGACAATATGGTGATTGATGACAACGTTAGCGGCCGTGGCGTAATGGTTAGCACAAAGCTGTCAAACTAAACTCCTAAGAAGTATTGCTTTTTTTTATTTTACCAAGTCAGACCCATTGAGGTAGACTGTATATCTTCTTGGTTCTTTCGGTAAAGTCACGTAGTAGGGAAGTAATAAAATAATAAAACATAATAAAACAATTATTTTATTACTTCCCTACTACGTGACTTTACCGAAATAACCAAGAAGATGAATCCCTGCAGTCACGAAAGCTTTAAATCGAAAAAGTAGACTGTATAGTTAGTTCTAGATTTTTTTTTGCTTTTATTAATTTAAAATTTTTTACCTACGTGACTTTACCGATAAAACCTAACTATATAGTTAGTTTGCAGCAGCGACCTGGCCACAAATAATAAACCCAACGAAGTGGGTTTATCATCATCATCAATCATCGTGTGGAAATGTCTCACAGCAGCCAAACACTCTAAACGCCGTGATGTTGATTCTTCTAAATGTGGAGGGAAAAACCAGAGGACCCGGATAAAAAAATCCACGCGACCACGGGGAGAGAGAGAAGCACTTCATTTACAGGGTCTGGATCGAACCCACGACCTCCTGTACACTAGGCGAGGTAGTCAACATCTCCTAGCCACCGTGATGATGATGATGAGAGACACGCAAACTCCAAATATACAGCAACAGGCGTCAGGGTCGGGATCTAACCCACGACCTCATGTGCACCAGGCGAGGTAGTCAACATCTCCTAGCCACCGTGATGATGATGATGAGAGACACGCAAACTCCAAATCTACAGCAGCAGGCGTCAGGGTCGGGATCGAACCCACGACCTCCTGTATAACAGGCGAGGTAGTCAACATCTCCTAGCCACCGTGATGATGATGATGATGTGAGAGAGAGACACACAAACTCCAAATTTCCATCAGCAGGCATCATCAGGGTCTGAATCAAACCCACGACCTCCTGTGTACCCGGCGAGGTCATCAACATCTCATAGCCACCGTGATGATGATGATGAGACAGAGAGAAACACACAAACTCCAAATTTCCATCAGCAGGCATCATAATGGTCTGAATCAAACCCACGACCTCCTGTGTACCAGGCGAGGTCATCAACATCTAGCCACCATGATGATGACAGAGACACACAAACTCCAAATTTCCATCAGCAGACGTCATCATGGTCTGAATCAAACCCACGACCTCCTGTGCACCAGGCGAGGTAGTCAACATCTCATAGCCACCATGATGACGAGAGACAGAGAGAAACACACAAACTCCAAATATACAGCAGCAGGCGTCATTAGGATCTGAATCAAACCCACGACCTCCTGTACACCAGGCAAGGTAGTCAACATCTCCTAGCCACCGTGA